TGTCAGTTGCTGAAAGAAAGTTTTGTGGATATGTGTCTTTCTCTTTTCAGTTCTGTTAGTTTTTATTTCATATTAATCTGGGTTTTTGCTATGAGTTGAATATAGATTTTGAATTGCTGTTTTTCTAATAAATCAGCCTCTGTCATTATGTAATATCATCTTTATCACTGATAATGCTCTTTAATCTGAGGTCTACTTCATCTAATGCTAATCTAGCCATTCTAACTTTTTCTTGACTAATGTTAGCATGGTATCTCTCTCCCTCTTTTTTCTTTTGAAGTTTGCTGACTTTCTGTTCAGTCTTGCCCCACCACCCCCACCATGTGCTTCATTTTTGGATCATTTCGTTGCTGTATGTTGACATACACTGGTCTTTTCTTCTCTACTGTCTCATCTGCTGTTAGTTCTATCCAGTACATATATTATGTATTTCATCACTAGAAATTCCATATGGGTTTCATTTTTAGTTTCTATTTCCCTTCTCATTATGTTTTATTTTACTTCCTTGAGCGCCTTCATACAAGTTATACTAGCTTGTTAAATGTTCTCGTTTATAAATTTCATCATCTATTCTTTCTATTTCTATTGATTGACTTTTCTGGTCATAGGACATATTTTCCTCCTTCTATGCATCCCTGTTAATTGTTTACTGGATGCTGGGTGTTGCAAATTTTCTTTTGCAAATTTTTGGGTGCTGGATTTTTTTAAAAATTCTTCTAAGAAAGTTTTGGTATTTTCTGCCTTGAAGTTGTATTATTACTTGAAGTTCAAATTGAACTTGATTCTTTTTGAAGCTTGCTATTAAGCTTCTTAAAGATGGTACAAGGAAGCCTTTATTCTGGGGATAATTTAGTTTTGCTAAGAAGTGTGTGTCCTGTGAACCCTCCCCGGAATCCCATGTATTGTGAGATATCCTCATTCTGGATTATAAGAACACAAACTTTTCCTAGCTCTTACTAATCTCTGCTGCTTTCCAGTGATTTTCCTTGATGTCAGGGATTGTCCTACATATAAGCAGACCCATATTCTGCAAAGAGTAAGAGAGGATCTCTTTGCAAATGTTCAGACTTCTCTTGTTCTGTATAGCTAGCTACCTCCTCTCTTGATAGTCTGCCCTGCAAATTCTATTTGCCACAGTCTCTCTGAGCTTTGATCTCTCTCTCTGCCGTTCATGAGATCACTGGACTCTCTTTCAATTCTCTCCCTGAGCTATGACCTGGAAACTCCCTGAGGTCTTAATCTGGGGCAATCATAAGACTCACCTCATTTGTTTCCCCTCTCTCTGAGATCATAATTTATTGTGCAATGTCTGAAAATTGTTGTTTCAATGTATTTTGTCCTATTTTCTGGTTGTGATTAAGTGATAAATTCCCCATAGACAGAAGTGAACATCAGTGGTAGGTTACTTTAATTTTCATTTGTTTATTAAGTGACATTGTATTTTTAAAATACATTTATTGACCTGTAGGTTTTCATCTTCTGTGAGTTGCTTGTATATAATTCTTACAGGCATTTAAAAAAAAAAATTTGCCTCCCTAGCATATGAAGCTCCTTTTTAAGTTCACAGAATTCCCTGTTCTTTGAATCTTAGTGTGAAGCAATAGTGGCAGTAACATTTAATGTCAAGGATTATGGGAGGATATGGTACAGTTTTAGCATCAGTAACAGGAGTGAGTGTTAGATACGTACCCTCAACATTCAGGAGACCCATGTCTTTTTGCTCAGCTTTTTTGGTGGTTAGAGGAATTGCCCAGAGGACATGGCATAAATTTTACTTATTCTCAAATCAGCAGTAGTTGGATGTTGTTATTTCATACTAAGAGTATCAGCTAGTTTAATATACTTGACTCATTTTTTTTTTCCCCTGTTGGCTTGTCTTGCTGAATTTCAGGAATTCTCTATATATCCTAGGTGCATATCACTTCTTCCTAGTGAATGTTTTTTTTTTTTTTTTGAACCCTATTGACGTACCTTTTTTTTCCATTTTTTTTAAAGATTTTGTTTTTAAGTAATTTCTACAACCAACCTGGGGCTCAGATGTACAACCCTGAGATCAAGGGTCACATGCTCTTCCAACTGAACCAGCCAGGCACCCCTACTGACAGTGTCTTTTTTTTTTTTTTCACAGTGTCTTTTAATTAATATTCAAATTTATCAATATTTTCTTCTGTAAGTTGTGCTTTTGTAATTAGAAAATCTATTCCTACCCTGAGAGAATAAAAATAGTCTTTTTTTTTTTTTTTTTTTTTTTTTATCATTTTTGGTTTTTTTTTGTTCCCTGATTGGGTAATAATTTTTTTTTTTTTTTTTTTTTTTGTATACTATCATCTTTGGTCTTATCAGGCTCCGAGATAGGGATATAATCTTTTTTTTTTTTTTTCCCTAGCAGGAAAGCCAGTTGTCCCAACAGCATTTATTTTATGATTTCCCTACTGATCTGCAGTGCCACCACTATCTAAGAGTAAATGCTCTTAGGTACTTGAGTTTAAGAATCCCTGTTCTCTTTTCTTCCTCTATTTTTCTACTCCTATACCAGTGCACACTGTTGATTACTTTAACTTATAATCAGTATTGATATCTGATAGGGCAAATGCCCCAATCTGTTTTCCTTGTCCAAGTTGTTTTTGCTGTTCTTGGACTTGTATTCTCTAGTTTGTCTATACACACACACACACACACACACATCCTGCTTAAATTTTGGTTGGATTTGCATTAAATCTGTGGATTAATTTAGAAGCTACTTACCATTATTATGATACTCAGTTTTCTTCTGTATAAATATGGGTTCTACTTTTTGTAAACTTCAGTAAGATTTTGCAATTTTTACTATTTATTTTTGGTTTATTTCTAGTTACCTTTTATTTTTATTTCTATTGTAAATGATACATTTTCTTTTGTTGCAATGTTTAGTTGGTTATTGTTGGTTTATGGAATGTTTCTAATTTATTGTATCAGCTATCCTGTCAGACGGTTTTTATTATTTCTAGTAATATGATACAGAGTCTCTTTAATTTTCTGTGTATTTGCAAATACGATTTACTTGCTTTGTTTCCAATTCTTAAGGTTTTTTTTTTTCCTTTCTTCTTTTGTTTTATTGCTTGGGCCCTATATATTATACAATGTTAAATAAGGGTAGTGGTAGCAGGCATTTTATGTTTTTCTTAAAGAAATGAGACTGTGTCTAAAGTTTTACCATTAAGCTTAATGTTGTCTCAGTATTTTAAATAACATTTTTTATAAGTTAAAATAGTTCTATTCTACCTTGAAAGGCTGTTAAATTTTTCAAATGATTTTTCTATGTTCAGATAGTAATATGATTTCTGTCCTTTATTGACATTTGTTATATAGCAAATGACACTGATAGATTTTTATGATACTGGTCATAATTTGAAATCTCTTGATAAATCTAACTTAGTCTACACGTTCTTCCATTGCACCATTTAGTAATATGGTACTTAGGATTTCTGCATTGATGTCCATTTTTAAGTTTGGCTTATTTTTTTTCTTGTGTTTTACATGTTTTGTTCTCATGTAAGGATTTTACTGACCTTTTAGTATAAATTACATAATTTTACATTTTAAAAAATTCTCTAAAATAGTTAGTATAAGAAAGAAATTTTGTTCATTGAAAGTTTGCTAAAATCTCATCTGGAAGCATCTTTGGGCCCGCATGTCTGTTACCTCCTGGGGATGAGATTTTTAATTATTGGTTTAAATTTTTAAGTGCTTGTTATACTATTCATGCTTTCTACATATTCTTAGGTAGATTCAGATGATTTATAATTCTCTGTAGAAGTTTCCATTTCATCAAATTTGTCTAATGGTGCTTCTAAAAATGATAGTTGGGTCTGTGGCTCTGCCCTTTTTCCTTCTCAGTATTAAGTAAATTGGTTAGTGAAAGATGTTTGCGTATTTTTAAGTCTTTTGTCAAAGAACTAGTCTTTGATTTTTGTTGACCTGTTGTTTTAAATTATTTTCTATGAGATGTATTTCTTTATGATGTCTTTCTACTTTTTGGGGGGTTTCCTCAATTTTACTTGGCCTTTATGATTGACTATAAAACTCATTTTTGTCCATTTTTTTCTGCTTTTGTTATAAATGTATTTAAAGCTATACGTTCCTGTTTTAAACACTGCTTTAGCTAACTTTCACGTTAGTTTTGATATGTTGTTTTTTCATTGATATTTTATAATATGTACATACAAAATTAACTTATAATAGTTCACAATTTTTATTTGTCTTTTTTAACACATTAGTGAATAACCTTTTTTACTTCCAAAGTATATGTTTACTATTTTTTTTACTATATTTGTATTGTTGATTTTGTAACATACCATGTCACAAAATTTCTAAATCATAATATTGAAGGCTGCCATGATATAAAAAACAGTACTTTGAATGCTCAGTTCTAAGATCAGAGAAAAATATCTCCTTTGGCTTCTATATGAAATAGTCTGTGCAGTTAAAGTAACAGGGTAATGATCCTATAATAAAATAGCAATGACTTTCCTAGGAAGAATTCATATTATATTCTTCAATAAAGCCTGAAATGACTTTCTGTATACATTAACACATTGCTAATTTATTTGTTATTAATAATTCAAGAAGTTAAAGTGAGACTTATGTAACACACTGTTCTTCATCTAAGAAGTAGACCCTGAAAGACAGAAGAATGATCTTCTGTGATACCTAATGCATAGGTTCTGGAAGTTGTGCATATTTAGGATTTACCTGAAGAATAATACAGAAGTAGGAACAAAGGGACTGCTCAAAAATTAACTTTCTGAGGATGATCCTAGAAGAAGGATCATGTTTGCTGTGTTATTTATTTAAAGCAGGGAGAAAAGTGATTAAAACAGGAGATAAAGATGAGATGACTGTACAATAGGAAAAGTAGACAAACATTCCCCTTGTATAGCTTGGGTTTTCTCATTAAGGCACAACCTTTCTCTGTGTAGTAGCCCTTTGCATTTGATCAATTCTTCCCTCTTCTTTTTCAGGAAAAAATAAGAAGGGAAATGACTCTGATTTGGAAGACATGATTTCCAGGGAGACTTCGCCTTCATCAAGTGAGAAAAAGACACCTAAATCAGTGACTCGTAAGGTAAAACTAGAAGAGGGATGTCTGCTAAATGATTGTGGCTACTATCTAATCACAGAGTAAGCTCTCTAAGGCATAGCGGTGTATTTTTTTCTCCTTAGCACAATAATTTTCATTCTCTGTCACTCTGATGTTGAAGATGACCAAAATAGCAATTTGAAGGAGTGGAAGTCTTTGCAACTCTAAAGAAAACTCTTGATACTATTCCGGAAATTTTACTTATTTTGGCATGGATTTCATTTTGTGCTACTAATAGAGTTACAAAATGAATTTCATATAAAATATGAAGCACCCTTAGATGTATTGATTGATGGAATTCTTAAAAGTTAGAGACAGCATGGTACCATGTCTCCAAACTGGAAAGGTAGAGGATTGGGAAAAATCTGGGGCAAACACTCTAACCTTTACACATGTCTCCTTCCTTGTGGAGATAACTGCCAGGATCAGAGCACAAAAAGAGAATGCATTTTCATCATGTCAGTGGTTTGCATTTTTTTCTTTTATCTGCTGGAGCTTTGGGACTGCCATCATGTTGCTGTCCTCAGACTCACATTCTGTAAGTTCCAGCGTTACTAGAGATCAAAGTAAGTACCAAGAACAGACACTGCTTCACCTGCTCCCCAGTTTGGCTGCCCTCTCCACCTAGTCATGCTGCTTTAAAAAACAGCACTGTGGTTTGGTTCTTCTCTCATAGAGGAATCTGTGCATTCTTCTGTGACAGGTAAAGTGGCTGCATCGAGGCCACCTACCATCACATCTCTGGCTGGTGGTCTCTAGTTCTTAATGCTCTGCTGGGCTCTCAGACCCACTGTTGATACTTTTCTCTGGTCAGAATGATTTTGTACCTGAAGGAGAGATAATTTCAAAGTAAGCACTTTCATAGAACATCCTGAGTAGATCCTTTTTATAACCATACTTGACTCCCTTCTAGAACAAAATACATTTCATCATTTGTTTTCCCCTTAATTTTATGGCTTGACCTATCAAGGATGAATTTTGATATGCTTTAAAGTTTCATTTTAGAAAAGAGTATCTTAGAGAACATCTCTAGATGGTTTTTAGAGTAACATGTTGGGAAAACCAGCTGATTTTACCAGAATTTGCTTTTCTTAACATTTCATGAATTAATTTGATGTTATAGCCCCTTGATGCCCTTTCAGTTATGATGCTATCCCTAAGAATTATCTAGATTCAGACTTATAGATGATTAGATTTAGAATCTAGGTCAAGACATTTTTATTCCAACACTCATTTTAGAGGTGAAGAAACTAAGTATCAGAGAGCTGAAGTGATTTGTCTGTGATACAGCTTTTTAATCACATCAGAGACTAGAAACCAAGCTCCTATCTCCTAGTATTACTGCTTTCACTTTGTCCTCATATGTCCTTGGTATATGCAGTGCAGAAAAGCTAACTTACATTCTTTAGAAAAAGTTATCTGGCCCTCTCTTTAATTTGACATTAATTTGATTCCATGAGCAATCTCCAAAAAGACCTGACATCTTGGTAATTTGGTATATTTCTCCTTGCGCCTTCTTAGCGTTGTTAGCCAAATCACATTTCACTCAATCAAAGACATATTAGAGTCCTAAGTGAGACTTTAATCTGAATTGCAGCCATCTAAAACAGTTTGCTTCTTGGATAAATGTAATCAAGTTGATTTTGAAGTGTGACTTGAAATATGTCTCAGGTTTAAATTATGGTAGGAATTCTTGCCCAGGTGACATCACTTTTTCTTCGTGAGTGAGTTTGAAGAAAATAGCTTTTTAAACATGTCTTGTTGGAGATGAGAGGGATTGTGTTGGTGCAATAGTACTATTCTCTTTCTTTTCCTCCATCCCATTTCATTCACAATCTTCACATTCCTTTTTGATTCTCCTGAAATTAATGTTTAGGGATTTGTTTTACAAATTATTGTTGATAAACTAGTTTTCAGGACTAGGCCAACTCTGTAGAACTCATTCAATTTGTTGCTCATTTCTGTAGTTTAATGAGAAGAAGTCTTTGGAGGACATTTTCCCTTGGTTTTTTTTTTAAGATTTAGTTTTTTTGAGATTTTGCTTATTTATTTGTCAGAGAGAGGGAGAGAGAGAGAGAGAGAGAGAGAGCACAAGCAGGGGGAGTGGAAGGCAGAAGGAGAAGCAGGCTCCTGGCTAAGCAAGGAGCCCAATGCAGGACTTGATCTCAGGACCTGTGATCATGACCTGAGTTGAAGGCAGACACCTAACCAACTGAGCCACCCAGGTGTCCCTTCCCTTGATGTTTTAAAGTAAAAGAATTAAAATACACAGAACAACACTAACAGAAGAGAACTAATATAGCTATAGTAATATCAGACAAAAGACTTAAAAGCATAAAGGTATTAGGCTTTAGAGGTCACTATATAATACTAAAAGGTTTACTTCATAAGGAATAACATGGAGGACATTAGGAGAAGGAAAGGAAAAATGAATCAGGGGAAATTGGAGAGGGAGATGAAGCATGAGAGACTGTGGACTCTGAGAAACAAACTGAGGGTTTTGGAAGGGGGCAGCATGAGGGGATGGGTGAGCCTGGTGGTGGGTATTATGGAGGACACGTATTAGACGGAGCACTGAGTGTGGTGTATAAACAATGAATCTTGGAACACTGAAAAGATTTAAAAAAAGCTTTAGTTCACAGGGAAGATATAAAATTCTAAACTTATAAGCACTAGAATATATAAGTCAGTATTGGACATAATTACAGGAAGGAATTAATAAATTCACTATGATAGTGGACCATTTAAAAAGATATCTTTTATTAAACAAATAGACAGTAGTTGAGAGTATAGAAATTATAAAAAAAATTAGCCAGATAGATAGAACAGACATATCTATAGAACTTGCATCCAAAAGTTAGAGAATATACATTCTTTTCAAGCTTACATGGACCATTTATAAAAATTTACCATATACCAAATTAAAATATATCTCAACCAGTTCCAAATAATCTTTTTTTAAAGAGTTTATTTATTTATTTGACAGAGAGAGAGAGTTCATAAGTAGGCAGAGAGGCAGGCAGAGGGATGGGGGAAGCAAGCTCCCCACTGAGCAGAGAGCCCGATGAGGGGCTCGATCCCAGGACCCTGAGATCATGACCTTAACCCACTGAGCCACCCAGGTGCCCCTCAGATAATCTTTATATTACTGACTGTGGCCTCTGACATAAGAAATTCAGTTGAAAGTCAACCACAAATAGATAAAACACACATTTGGAAATTAAAGACATACTCAAAACTCATGGGTCAAAGAAGAGGTCATAGTGGAAATTTAAAATATTTAAAGTAGAACAAATATAAAATTATGTAATATAAAATATGTGGTTTTGTCATTATGCAGTAGTTGGTAGGTGTATACCAGATATCAAATTATCTACTGTAATAGATTACACCATCACATTTACAGTGGTACCTGCAATAAAGTATGTAGGAGTCAAAATTCCACCGGTATTTTTCAAAGAGCTGGAGCAAATAATCCTAAAATTTGTATGGAATCAGAAGAGACCCCGAATTGCTAAGGAAATGTTGAAAAAGAAAAACAAAACTGGGGGCATCACGTTACCTGATTTCAAGCTTTACTACAAAGCTGTGATCACTAAGACAGCATGGTACTGGCATAAAAACAGACACACAGACCAGTGGAACAGAGGAGAGAGGCTGGATATGGACCCTCAACTCTATGGTCAAATAATCTTCGATAAAGCAGG